GGCGTAACAGCGACTGAGCGTAACAATTCATTAACTCTTATACTATTATACTATACTGCTATTCTATGCTAAGTTATGATATTTCGCTGCTGCTGCTTCAACACTGATATAACAATGGATCTTCATCGTTATTAGGAATTTCCGCAGATATCACATCGTCGATTTTATCTGGTATTATCCTCTCTAAAAACCAAATGAGGATGTGTGCATGTTGTAATCCGCGTTTTTACCATTCGACTGAATACATCCAACAGCGCGTTTCGCAGAATACACGATGCTTAACAATGTAATCCATGAAAGATTTTAACTTTCTTTTGAACACCCTTGCGTTAATGTCGTGGCGATCAATGGGTGATTGGCCATGAAATAATTCTTGTCTAACTTCTGTCCACTTTGGATTACATGTGAACGTTATAAACAAATCTGGTGTGCCATAATGACATACGACATAGCATCCTGAGAGTATTCATGCATATGGGCAGTTCCTATCTGGCGTTACGTTACATTCGTACGACAAAATGTTGGAAAAAATAGTCAAAAAGCTGAAATTTGGAAAAAAGATTATCCTCGTTGAATATAATTTGGTTAGACCTACATTCACCAGAAAAGTGGAAATAATCGAGCGTACGGTTTTAAAGATATAAGCCAAAGTATGACCTAAAAGTGCGTTACATAAAACAGAAGTGGTTTTCGAGGTTGGGGTACAAAATGGCAAAACTCTGCGAATTGGATAGGGCTATCTGTATAACATTTTTTGTGCTAATAAATGAAGTATTGAGAGTTAATTTTCAAACTTATTAAATGTAAAAACTTTTCCTGTTTTTTTGTTAAAAATCCGCGGAGGCATCTGGCGAACGTTACTGGCGTTACGTTACCAAATTCCGCGATTATAAAAGCCTAAAAATATACTGTTAGCCATGGTTCGACCAACGTTCTGATAATGGTTTTAGGTAGTTTAATATATTAGAAAGACTTTAAGGAGAAACTTTTGTCAAGAATCATCTTCTTCCTAGGAGATAATAGTAAAAGAAAACATGTCTATAAAAATACCAGAAAATACCAAAAACGTGAACTTTTGCTTATTTTCATAGGTTTTAGGATGAAAGTTAATGAAATTATATGTGAATAAAGTAAATTAGTTACCTTTCAATAAATTTAAAAAAAAATATCCGGAAAAAATTATATAGAAATCGGTTTTTATTGACTTTTTATGATTTTTGGCCTGGTGGACCTTTTGGCGGAACTGCCCATATGTCGCGTACCCATCTTCACCTTGCCAAAATAAGATAGGATATTGTAACGCATCATATGATCGATGTGTTTCGGATACACGCTGCAGTTGATTGCTACGCCGATGTAAAACAATGTCTCGGTTTTCTAAATTTTTACCCACGACGACAATAGCGACTTCGTCAATTGTTGGCACACTTAAACGTCTCAGCTTTGACGACAATTCTGTGGTTATCAGACGGCATGCGGTCCAATGCTGAATCGCCCATAAATTTAATTTGCAAAAATTTTGAGTTTGGTTTTGAATAACTTTTGTTGCGCCAAATGACGTCATCGGAAAGCAATCATTATATTGCTGGATATGAGTAAAAAAATGATTAGAATATGGCCCATTTCCTGAAACCAATGAATGTAGTGGCTCTGGTGGCGGTAACAATGGTATCAATTTGACTTGACCGCTCGCGCAACACAATCCAGTAGCTTCATTTGTAAACTTAAATGCCTTGCAGTATTGGCACACAACGTTCATTTGTCCAATAGCAACGATTTCCTGTGAACTGTAATCTATTACCACGTTATAATTGAATGCAGCTCGATAGGGGTCTAAAGCAAGATTTCTATGTTGTTGATTTAGATTCCATCCATTCCGTTCAACTTCATTCCTCGCTTCGCGTTGCTCGTCGGTTTGACGTACTCTTCTATATCTGTGACTTGCAGAATTGTGAGTTTTGCGACTTAAGCCTGTACGTCTAATTGCTGGCATTTTTAAAAACGAAAATTCCTTTGTAAATTAAAGAAAACTATTGCAACGCATCATATGATCGAAGTGTTTCGTATACAAAGCTAGCTTTTCTACTGAAAGGTCTCTCTGTCAAAGCTATAACCATTTGTTTACGTTTTTTGCAGCCAATATATCGGGGATTCTAGACCCTAAGACCTTCTCCTGACAATAACAAACACAACAAAAAAAATTTTAGAGAAATCGGTCGAGCCGTTCATGCGTGATGCCGTGAAAAAGGGAAATAGGGATTCATTTTTATATATATCGATTTAGAACTGATCTTCAACTATGACAATTGCCTCTTCGCCTACTTCCATAAAAGAACCAAATACAAAATCACTTTTTCCGCGATCGGATGTTGGTTTTTCCAAAATGTTCTTTCAAAAAACAAATACGAGCAAATACGGCCCAGCCGTTTTAAAAATTAATTTTTTTTGGCGATCGATGGTTTTTTCTTTCGTAAAAACATTCTTCAGGCAAATACGAAAAACTGAATAAAAATGTAAACCAAATCTGCCCAGCCGTTCTCACGTGATGATGGACATTCTTATTTTTAAAACTGGATCTGAAAAATTTGGTCTGTGCAACAAAAATTGTGAATTCCTCCGAACAGCTGTGGCAGCCCGATTTGGTTATAGATAAATCTCTGTTAAATATAACAGATGTCTTTTTGTATGAGCTGGCACTAACGCGTGGGTATAACAGCAGTAAATTTGGCGCTTAACTGTAGAATGAGCAAATTAAACAAATATAATAATACATTTTGTTATTAATTTTATTTTCAAATAGAAAGAAAATGTTCATTGAAATGAGATAAATCTTTTTTAAATTACTGATCATTTCTGTGAAAATCCATATTGTTATACTCGTAGTTGTTCCCTTAAAAAAAATTATTGGTACAGTGAAATGAAAATTATTGTTTTAAAATTTTATAATTATGGTAAACAAATGTATTACTATACTTAATAGTGCGTAGTGCCTCCACGCCTTAAAATAACTTCAGCCAAGCGTTTATTTTTTAGGGTGTTCTCGTCGCCTATGTTCTATGGCCTATTCTTCAATAACACTAGCCGCTAAGATTTTTTACTTACTTTTGCACGCTTTTAATGCACAAAAATGATAGAAAACAAACATTTTCTCAACCTTTTTTTTGCGTTTCGATAGCATTTTGTTAGCTTTCTGCTTAGTGCTAATGATGGGGTTCATCGAGGTTTAGTTTTAATAATAGTTTTAAAAAACATGCAGTCGCAGTCGTTCTAAAAATATAAGTCGAATTTGGCTTGATCTCGTAAAATGCAAAAATCTGCGAATTGGAACGGAATATTCTAAGGCGATAAATTTATTTTAAAAAGTATGTCGCATATTGACTTTTAAATTTGATCAAAAACGAATTATAAATGTTACTCCAGTAATCGTTGACTTTCTTTGCTACTTTTGTGGGCTGGCAGTTTTTGTCTGACGTAACCTGGCGTAGTCATAAAATAGAAGGAGAAGTGTGCAAAAAGGCAGATAAAGATGGCGACCTAAAAGATATAGACTTAAGGCTTGAATAGGTGTTGGCATATTCTTGCATGTGTGAGTGATAAGCTTAAAAGAGAAGGTCATGCCACGCACCAGGGAACGTTTTGCACACAAAGTGGCACAAGAGGACGATGAAGACACTGTGAGGATTACCGATATTAATCTCCGACAAGTATTAATGTAGCTTTCTATCGAGTATATTCAAATAAAATTATTTCTATTAGTTTTAAAAAAATTTAATTAAGTAACGTTCACCTCACGTTCTTCCATGAATCACTTCATGTTTTTTTTCTTAAACAACCCATTACTCCATTATATATGTCTAATAACATTTATAAAAAGAAAAGATAACAAGCAATTTATTTAACTTCTGTGGATCGCTTTTAATTTTTTTGATATATCGGTTACGTTTTTCACTTGTTTTAGCCATCTGCAAATAATTATTTGCAGGTACAAAAATGTAAAGTAAAAGTTAAAAAAAAAAAACAGTACTTACGCTCGCAAGGGTACGGTACTTTGAAAATCAAAATAATAGGTTTGGTTAATAGTAACACCAAAGTTTTTTATACTAAAATTAGTTAATTGAACTTTTTTTTCGGTCTCTTTGCATTTTTCTCTTCTTAATAGATTGCAATAAAGAGTTTTGGTAGAAAGAGTGCAAACATAACAAATGTATGTTTTGCCTGTAAAATATTTATATATAAAAAAGTAGCTAAAAGTGAAACAATCACATTTTTTCAATTTTTCGGGCAAAATTACTCATGATATGCAAGTACATTTAAAAAAATATTTGCGTCGTTACAAAAGCTTACCAATTTTAAATAATTTTGAAAAAAAAACTATAAGTGAGAGTTCCAATATTTATTTTGACCAGATTTACTATAGATTTCAAAACCAACCAAGAAAACCTACTACACCTAGAATTCCAACGCAGTTAGAATTCGGTTGGAATGGACTTCTGTGTCACCCCGATAGAGAAAGCAACCATACATACATATTTTTAGAATCATGTCAGAAAGATAAAAATTCTTGAAACGCTTAGTCGCTCTATGAAAGTTTTCTGTAGTTTATAAAAGATTAAAAGATAATACATATCGCTGCGAAGGTTTCTAGTTCTCCTGTCATAGTCTTGTAAACAGACCGTGAACGTAGTCTATGTTTTAGTAGAAAATAAAAGCTATATTGTGAAAAAAAATGATCCTTTTTGTTTTTACTATTTCTACATGTTTGCTACCGATCGTTCATAATGGATATTTTAGGCCTTCCTATCAAGTGCAATTACACAGCAAAAATAATTCAGGATATTTACTGGAAAATATATGCTATGGAAATATTCTGCAAAGTCATATTGTCTTAACGGCAGCGTCGTGTTTATTCGCTGTTTCTGAATTCCCATATAAAACAAATCTCATTCAATTAGATAAACTATCAGTATCTTTTAAAAGAGAAGACATGCATGAGTTTATAGTTTTTGTTAGCAGCATTCATGTTTATGATAAATTTAATTATTTTACAATGGATCATGACGTTGCTCTGCTAAATCTAAGCTCACCACTTCCATTGTCACTGCGTGATGACGTCAAGTGGATTTTATTGCCGGAATCTGTAATAAATAGGGAAACTGGCTTAGGAGAAGTGACTAATGTGAGTATGAACTTCTTTTTGTTATTTTTTTTTTATTTAGATTGTATTACAGGCTGAAAAAACTCAAACCTTCTATTTGCTGCAGGCCTACACTAACTTTCTTACCTATATTTGTCCTTTTCTAATATGCATCATCCGTTTTTATACACAGTTTTTACAGAAGGAAACGTTTCCGAACCCATAAAACGTAAAAGACTGAGCCGATTGTAGACATAGTTTTGTTTTTGCCTCATACCTTTTGACAAAGTGCAAATTATACAGACATATGTGTAGCAATTAAAGGTTAGAGGTAGGAACTAAATTGATTCCATTACAAAAAAAAATTTTGAAAATTACCATAATCAATCTGACTGTTGTAACTAAAAGCACCACGCATCATTTCAGCCAAAACAGCACGACGTATTCGTGATCGCCGTGCAAGATTCACTACAGGTACTGGGTGAACAGATCTATTTTAAGTTCACGCTGCGATGCATTAGCTTGTGCGCGCGCGTTAATCTGCAGTCTGTGATCGCCTTAGTAATGCCACATCATTTACATTACGCGTTCGCTGACCTATATTTGCCTTCATATAAAAAAAAATAAATCAAATTAAAAACTAAATGGCTACAATTCAAGACAAACCGTTTGTATGAATGCACTCAATAATATGTTTAAAAATATAAACACAACAAATCAATAATTATCGCACCGCATGAATGACATATAAATACATGCTTGCACTATTAACACTGAAAAAAGTTTCAGTTTGAATTCATTTGTTAAAAAAATGTGATAAATAAAGAACCGCTCGACCGATTTTGTGAAATCTTCACATAAACCATCTACTAAATAGTCCGGACAAAGCCCGTTCTTGAGTTATACAATTTCAACGAACCTTAAGTTCCAGCAAATCTACAAATTTTTTGTAGAAGAACCCTGGACAGGCTGATGCATAACCAAGCCTGAAATAAGGTATCTTACAACTGTTAAAAGTGTATTTCAAAACGAAAATCTGTGGCAGCCACAATTAAAAAGATACGATAAAACTAATAACGCAGTATCAAAGAGAATTACCATATATGTAGTCCCGGGTTTTCCGTAGTTATTAGTTTAATTGAAGAACCCGCTTTTTGGCTTTTTCCCACCTTTGTCCAGAACTATATTGATTGCCTTTTCTTGTTTGACTGTCATCGCGACACTCCTGCTTATTATGCGGCTCATCTCCGCAATTAAAACGCTTCTTATCTTTTCCGTCTCTTTCCCTAACTCTTTTTCGTCCTTGTGTGAGTCAATCTTCACTTGTGGTCTAACCGACCCTGCCACTTTCTGGTATGCCTCGATTTGCACTTTTAACTGCCTTATACTCCTAGCCTGATACAATTAAGCCTTATTTGCGTTATAATCTGGAATACCGCTAACAAAGTAATCGATCAAGTTTTCGTCCTCTATATCGATAGGCATTGACAACTCCATCAGAGCGTACAGATACTCTTGCATAGTTTCGTTCTTGTTCTTCTGCCGCTTCCCTAGCCTACGATGTACCTCCGCTGATGCCACCCTCACACCAAATTCGTCGATCAATGCACTCTTCAAAGCATTCGAATCACGAACATCGCGCTGACTCCTTACAAATAACTTCGCCACCCCACTGAGCAATTGTTTTGCATAAATTAACACCTGCAATTGGTAACATTCCATCGTCAGCGCACACTCTTCAAGTTCTTATACCCACTGATTTACGTTTGGCGAGCTTACAACTGAAAACTGCCTTCTACATTCTTCAATGTAAACCAAGACCTTCCTGAACTAAATATGTCTGCTTGCCGCCTTTGACCATATCCAATTGGATTTTCCTCTCGCATTTCATTAACTCCCTCTTCAATTTCTACCTCATCACTCACTTCATAATTGTTCGGATTTGTGAGCCAGCAGTCTGCCTTGCAACTCAGCTTTCCTTCCGTTTCTACTTAAACCTATCTCGGCCAACCTCCAACGCATTTCTGCCACACCCCATGCCGAAATCTCATCTCTATTAATTTTACAAACTTGTATACCAATATAAAAGAATACGAAATGGATCTGTGCCAGACTTGTCACTTTGCAATATTCCGCTGCCACTCACCCTCACCAACCAATTCCAGAATTTTTCTCGTTCTCTCACCAACACAGTTCCAGAATTATCGTCCTCACACCAATACAGCTTTAGAATTTTCTCGTCTGATGCTCCTGACTTTTTCCAAACCCAAGCACGTGCGATCTGCCAGCTGCTGACTATCCAAAAACTCTTGCGTTTCCTCCAGATTGTGTACTGCGTTCCTTTATCGCCCTCTCTGCTTTTACAGCTACTAACAGCTGCGTCTCATTTCTTACACACACAGTCTTGACGATTTACTCGCTGTCCTTTTCCTGCAGTCTTTTGACCTTGAACAGCCGCCTTTGTCCAGCACTTGCGATCCTCCAGGTACCTTCTCTGCTCCACGCCTTTCACTTTATTCAGATGTTTACCGCCAACCATCCTGCCTACTGCACGTTGCTGAACATCCACGAAGTCTTACGTTGCCTCCAGCTTGAGTATCGGTTTCTTTATCGCCTTCTCTGCTGATACTCTCGTGCCTCCTGATTGGGTTTGCTTCGGTTTTTCTTATCCTCTTTGCCATTGCGGCCTGCCGCTGTCTCGCTCCCTCGTACGATCCTTTGCCAATTGGTAGGTAGAGTATTTCCAGAATGTTCCAAGCATCTCCGAAGCGATTCAATTAATATATCAATATACCTTTTTAAACACACATTCTAGTTTTATGATTGTAACTGTTGAAATCTCCGGCTGAGCACCCAAAAATAGTGGCCCCGGGTTTTCCGTAGTTGTTAGATTAATCCAGGACGACAGTGTTTATTATCAGGGGTGCCACAGACTGTCAAACCGACCGAATTCCAACTGGGTTTGTTTTTTAAGGTGCCATAGCATGCTCTCTTGGTTGGTTTTCAAATCTCTAGTACTATGGCTAGAGATTTGGTTAAATTCACTTCTCAAACACATTTTACTCAAAGAAAGTGTTACAGTTTTGGAAAGTTTATTAAATTTGTGATATATCTGCATAATAAATAATTTAAGATTTCACTTGCTTTAGTCCCTTTTTTTCCATTTTACGAAATCTCTAGTCAAATCTCTAGTAGAATTGCCATTCGGTGTCGACGTCCAAAGCCAACTCAAAGGTAAATCTGGCCACCTGGTTTTTCTGACAATTGAATTTTTTTTGGAGTGCTAAATTCGAATGACAATATGAATTTAATTGTTTTAAATTAGAGTTAAAAAAATAACTTAAGTTTACATCAATGAAATTTCCAGCCTTGGCAAAATAAGTGTGTAATTAATGAAGATTCAATCGCTCTAATTATTAATATTAGGTGGCAACGCCAAGTGATTTATCGTGTGATAACGTCTATGTCAAAAAGAAAAATAGGTCGAAGACAGCTGAAAACGAAAATGTAAGTCATATTTTTGTGGTTTTTATACCCGTACTCAAAAAAAGGTTAAGGGGTATATTGTATTTGTGTTAAAGGTGGATGTGTGTAACGCAGAGAAGGAAACGTGTCCGATTTCATATATATATTAATGTATAGATATTCTTGAACAGGATCGATAGCCTGAGTCGATATAGCCATGTCCGTCTGTCCGTCTTGATGAGCCCCTAGATCTCAGAGTCTACTACATAGAGCTAGAACAACCAAATTTTGATTCCAGACTCATGTGAGATCACACTACTATAAGTGTATTCCAAAATTTCGCCCCGCCCCCGAAAAGAACAAAATCTGTGGCATGAAAAATTGTAATGATACGATAAAACTTCTGGGGACGCGACTCTACTTATACCCGTACTCAGTCAGTATATACATTTTTAAGCATTATTTTTTAGAATTTTAGAATTAAAAAAAAAATTTGCATTATACATTTTTTTGCTACATCTGTATATTCTACATCTAACATGTAGATTGTACATGTACCATTTACATTCTACATCTCCTCCGCTAGGGGTTGTTCGCGCACTGAACGCGGCAGAGTGTGCGAGCGAAAAAGAGAATGAGTAGTCTCTTGCTGAAGGAGGCGGGGGATAAAACTGAAAATTAATTTCTTCATTCTGGCCATAAATATGATCCGATCTAATTGAGATTCGGCAGTCTGGTAGATATGGGCATTCTCTACGATACTGCGTTTTATCGTATCTTTAATATTGTGGCTGCCACAGATTTTCGTACTTTGTGGGGACGGAAGGGGGCTGGGCGAAATTTTGAAATTCACTTGTAGCAGTGTGATATCACATAAGTCTGGAAACAAAATGTGGTTCCTCTAGCTTTTATAGTCTCTCAGATCCAGGCGTCAAACAAGACGGACAGACAGACAAGAATGCAAGAATGTGAAAATATACATAAAATCATGAAATAAAATACTTGAAACTGATTGTATTATTATCATACGACATTTTTGTGATCCCCTGATGCCATTATGACACTGCTGGAGACGAACTCCGATGGTTTTCATAATTTTAAGAAGAACTCCCACAAGCTCTACAAAGAAATGTCTGAAAATAAAAAATAAATATAAGAATCAATTCTCTTTCGTCCATTTTCTTGTCGTCTTGCATAATTCTGTTGATTTCTCAAAATTTGTTTACTTTCCTTGTCATCAAGCACCCAAAACAAAATTCAAGATGCACGTCTGCCAATGTTAACGCCTTTTCTGCTTCATTGCGTCTATTCCGATATCGATAGCAGACGCGCACAGTGTAAAAAGGCTATAAAACTTTTTTTCTTCACGGTGTCCGGCACGTGATGCGTGGCCGTCTGCTGCTGCTGCTGCTGGGAGCCCAGGATATGCCTGGGAAGAGCGGCCCCAGCCGAAGAAGTGCATTTTATTAACTTTAAACAAAACCAAGCAGCGGTCTGAGCAGTGTAACCGTACGGAATGAAGTGCACACCTCTGGTCGCACCACTGGTCGCTCGAAAATATGACATCTGTTTGCTAGCAAACAGTTTTTCGATCTGAGTACTAGGCTTAATCAACAAACCCCTTGTTCCCTTGTGTTATGAGCGAAGAGTGACCAAATGCAAAAATTATTTTGGCTAGCTTTATACAAAACTATCCTTCTCAGATCCCTAATGAAAAACAATAAAATAAACAAAGACCAGCATTTCACAAAATTATTTTTGAAAGACTACAACTCTGAGCTACAATTCTCATTGTTGCGTGTGAACTCCGAAAAAAGTGTACGAAAAATGAAATCTCTAGACATCCTGTGGCACCTACGGATTTTTCGGTTGATTTGACAAATCTCTCGAGTCAAAATATCTAGAGATTTCTATGGCACCCCTGTATATTTAATGCTTTATTCGTTCTATTACACTACTCGACAAACCGAACTTTTTTTCCTCAAAGATCCAAACCGACTTTTTCTGATATGGGACTTTAAATTTTTTTAAAGAATTATTGTTTTTTTTCTTTGGCTTTTTTAGGAGCTGTTTTAAGGGGTAGCGCTTCTTTTTTTCACATAACTCTAGTATCTTACGTCTGGTTGTAAAGAACTTTGCTATTTTGAAAAGATAATTAACACAGCTAAAAAACACTTTGTGATTTCAGCTAACCGTCTGGGAAATATAAGGCATTGAAATACAAAAAATTACATGATTGTACATCATGTACATGATTATTTTTGTGGGGTATTTTTTACGAAATTTTGATTATCAAAACCCAGGAAAA